GCAACCAAGTTAACTTAAGATTCCTCCTGCTGAGTGAGATGTAAGCATCATTGGCTAGTTAATAGTGTTGGTTTTTAAATCTCCACTTTCATCTTGTCAGGGTTGGTAGCCTGGGATGATCGGAGTAGCTGGATTTGTCCCTCCTAAACCCATTTGATTATTTTATAGTCAGGACTCTTGAAAACTGCTTGAGTTTGAAATTCTTCCTGCCAAGGTGTGCTTGACAACTGGGGATATGTATGTGTTGCTTAAAATGACATTAGAGTTGACCTCACTCAGAAATATATGTATCTGTGGATACCACTGGACTTTTCGGGGTTGTATACAAGTGTTCAACAATTTGGAACATTATATAGAACAGGACAAAAGGCCCTCCTAGGCTTTCAGTCGACAGATGACTTCATCTCCATAAACCAGAGGGACTTGCTTGTAGAACTTGCTAGTTCATGTTTGCAGAACACCATCTCCTCCTCCTTGTTATTCAAATGATAACCATAGGCAGATTTACACATATTGTCTGTTCTGAAGAGTGAAACCACACATTTTCATAAGCATGCTCTATTTTTAATTGTGTAATTAAGTTGCTGACATAAGCAAGTATGCAATTTCACATTAAGGTAAGGATCCGTAAAGGCATGCATTTGCATAATTTAATTTTCTGCACAGAAGATATTGAAAATCAATAGCATGATTCATAGCCATACCATAGCATACCATGCTGCTGCTGCTCGGCTGTTGGAGCTGAGGAGAGGACGAGTATTAAAATTGATGGAATTGGGCGTGCTGACTCTGTAGCTTTACTTGGGAACCACAGACTGTTACCATTTGCAAGCCTCTGCTCCTTCAATAAAATATTAAGTTGTTTTATATACTCTATATACATTTTTGACTGATATTAAATAGTTAAAAATATATTTAAAAATGACCTTGTCTTTGATTGAAAGATATTTGAGGTGAGGGCTTTAGACTGTCTTCCTTAGTTTATACTGGTGCTGTCAATACATGAGTCTGTCCTTATCTGGGGGGTGGGACAAGGAACCACACATAACTGATATAGTGGAAAGGAAGTAAATATAGTTACTTTTAACGAGCAGCTCATCTGTTGGAAAGAACATGGTGCCCAGTGAGAGAGTGCTTTGCTTCCCTGCTCAGGGAAGACCTGCCTGTTGGGTTCTCAGGCCCTTCCCATCCTGCTTTGTGTTTTCAGTGTTTGCTCTTTCTGGTAGGTGAGCAGTGGTCTTAAAAGAGAGGCAGTGGAGGCAGGAGGTGACTTTTGGCGCTCTCTCTCTCTCTCTCTCTCTCTCTCTCTCTCTCTCTCTCTCTTTCTCTCTCTCTATATATATTTATATACACATACATATATGTATATATATGTATAATCATCTAGGACATTTAAAAAGTTATTATTTGGGTCCTACTCCAAAACATTTTAATTTGAATTTCAAAGCACAAGGAAAGTTTATGTCATTTATTTGTGATTTCTATTTTTTAAAAAAAATTATCGCTGGGTTGATAATCTTTTACAACGATGACCATTTGTAGATAATGTAAATTGATCAGAAGTGGAAGTGATTGTTTAAAGACATTGCCATAGCAGGACTGTTTGCACAGTTTTACATTCTAATTGCTTCATTGCGACTCGTTTGGGGCTAACTTCTAGTTGGCACCAGCCAGGGCTTAGTGCCATCAAGAGAATTGATCTGTATAGTCTGCCTCCTGGCTTGGCTCCAGATTTTGATGTTATCGTAGCTTCTGCTGACCCCATACTTGATCCTCACTCCACCCCACCCTTTGCTTTGGGGACCAGGTCCCAACATCCCCATGATCCTAAATCTAGCACTTCCAGAAGCAAAGAAGACTGGCCAATACCCTTTGCTTGATTTCATCCCAGGAGTTTTCAGGGTGCTGGTACATCAGGACTCAGTGGCTTAAGTCAAAGAAGAGCAAACCATGTGTTGGGAGGGATAAACGTGCCTGGATAGCCGTGGGTAGATAGAGTGGGCGATGATTGCTGCTGAAACAGTGACTTTGGAGCAAATTCCTATTATGATGGTGCTAAGGGAAAGCATCTCTAAAACAGTTCAATTTAAATTTTGTAGAGTTTACTGGAGCAGAAGAAAATAAAAAATGGTCTGTGAACCCAATAAACAGCCAGAACAAGTTCTGAGAAACCATCCCCTAATGAGCTCAGACGTCATTTATAGAGAGAGAAAGGAGGGTGAGACAAGAAGTCAACTGACTGGGGGCCTGAGAATGAGCTCAGGGGGTGAGCGCTTGTCTAGCATGCACAAAGTTTATCCTCCATTACCCAACAAGCTGGGTATGTTGAAGTACACACTTGTAATCCAAAAACTGGGGGCGTGGCATCAAGGACACCAAACGTTTGAGGCCATCGTGAGCTACATGAGACCTTGTTTTTCAATAAACACAAACCAAAAATCAGCTTCGTGGGTTACAGCTGAGGCAGTCCACCAATCCATTGGTCACACCATTATGCTTCTAGACAATTAACTTCCTGCAAGTTCTTCTGCATCCAGCAAGAGGGTAGTTAGTAAGAGTAAATTCCTGTATCATTTGCTCTGTTGTGCTTGGAGCTGAGCTAGGTGCTCTGCTCACGGTAAATCCTGTTGTCGTCTGTAATATCCGCTAGGGCTCTTATTTTACCAACAAGGAAACTGAGATAATACTACAAACCCCCAAAGACTCGGCATTTTTTGCTCATATTGTCAAGATGCTGCTGTACTCGTTGTCCTGATACAAAGAGAAGAGGCTTTGGGGCATTATGTGACGCACAGTAAGCAAGTGCACATCAAAGTACTTACCATGTGCACAAAAAGTGTACTGACTGTCCAGTGTGAGGGAAGCATGAGAAAGCAGGAGAGGGGGATGCTTAGTTTCGATCATAGGTGAGACCTATGGTCTCGACTCACAGGTGCTCTGAGTGGCTCATCTACAGAATTGAAGGATGAGGGGGATGGTGAGGGGCCGCGTTTTCATTGCACATGACAGTGAGCAGCATTTTACATTTTTTTACTTTGTAATTCAGAACGAGTGAACGAATGGAAATGACAGCACATCTCCTTTTGAAACGGGCCTGTGGAGTTCCTTCCTTTCACACCTCCTCTAAAGGCTCCACTCAGAAGCGTCTCTGTTGCAGCCCTGCTGCAGGTCTTAAACTAGTTCCTGCAGTTGTGACGTTTCTTAGTGGCCGCTACATTCTCATCAAAGCTAGTGCCTCGTGCCCTCATTGCGGACTCATCAGAACAGAAAATGTCCTGTAGTTTCGTGTTGCTGGCCTCATCTCAGAGCAGATGTGTGTTTCTCCTAACCAGTTTCTTTGCTCCCTCTAAGCAGACTTGATTTTGTTTGGGTGCATTTGAATATTAATACAGGTGGGTGGTGTGTATTGTTTTTTAATCTGGGCGCTTGTGATATTTATCCTTGTACACATCTGTGCATTCAGGTGTAGGCTCATCACTAGAAGCAATTTGCATCTGATGGAGAAGATGAAGGCTGGGGGTGGGGGGAGGGTTTTGAATGCTGGAGTGAGCACATAGACATTCTCCATCATGGTAGAGAATCTTTTTGCTTTTTTCGGGTGGACTGGATTCCTCTTGAGTTTTCAGAAGTGTCACCAGTGTGCAGTACTTCTTTCTGAGCATTGGCGGTGGAAGGTTGTGTCCTCTGCTGTACCAGGGGAGACGGTCTGTGGGCCTGAGGGTGTGGAAGGTGGGCGTTCACCTGAGGAGTCTCCAGTGCATGGGCTTGCTTTGGGGGACTGTGGCCACAGTTTCCATGCATTTCTTTGGTTCTCAGTTCTGCTATGTGCTTTTTATGGTGCTGGGGCCCAGCGAGTGTCTCTGTACCTGAAATCCCTCCTACATATAACAACCACAGTGAAGAGCACAAGTGCCCAGGGGGCTATTCACACCCAAAGCACACGTTTATTCATGTAGTTAGAACCCAAAGCACACGTTTGATCATGTAGTTAGAATCCAAAGCACACGTTTGTTCATGTAGTTAGAACCCAGAGCACACGTTTGTTCATGTAGTTAGAACCCAGAGCACACGTTTGTTCATGTAGTTAGAACCCAGAGCACACGTTTGTTCATGTAGTTAGAACCCAGAGCACACGTTTGTTCATGTAGTTAGAACCCAGAGCACACGTTTGTTCATGTAGTTAGAACCCAGAGCACACGTTTGTTCATGTAGTTAGAACCCAGAGCACATGTTTGTTCATGTAGTTAGAACCCAGAGCACACGTTTGTTCATGTAGTTAGAACCCAGAGCACACGTTTGTTCATGTAGTTAGAACCCAGAGCACACATTTGTTCATGTAGTTAGAATCCAAAGCACACGTTTTGGTTCAAATTTGGTTGGACCCTGGGTAAGTGAAAGTCATTCCCTTGCTTGAGGCTTATTTCTTATCCCTGGGATCCCTGTGTCCACACTTGTGCAGAGTAAATAATATTATGTAGAGCAGGTACCTAGTGAAGGTCTGGCTGGGGGATACCTTTAATCCAGCAGAGAGGATGGGGTAAGTAGGAGGCTGGATGGGAATTTGAGGCTAGCCTGATCTACAAGGTCACGTGCAGGTCACTTTGGGCTACAGAGTGACACTGTCTCAAAACAGACAACCAAATAGATCGCAACCTAAACTCAAACACAAATCATGTAGATGTTATTAATATGAACAGTACATGTGTTGATGTCTTGCTTTGGGATTTCCTATAGTTTGTTGTTCCTTTGAGTCAGGCTCTTACTTTGTAGTTCAGCCAGCCTAGGACAGGAAGCAATCCTCCTGCCTCAGCCAAATGTTGGGATTACAGGCACAAGCACCGCACTACAAGGCAAAACTGAGGTTCTCTTCAGAGAGCACCTAAGGCCTGTGCTTTGGTGACTACTACTGCTGTCTGCGGCGGACATCTTTCCTGGGCCTCGTGTCCACCTGAGCGTGATGACTGACTGTGTTCACTGACTGTGTTCTCCCTCTCTTGCAGCATTGACTGGAGGCTATGTGGGGGCCCTGCAGGAGAGCAGACAGGGCAGCTCCGTGCAGATCCGCAGGCGCAAGGCGTCCGGAGACCCCTACTGGGCATACTCGGGTGAGTCCAGCTAATTGGTTAGTGCCCTGGAAGGGTTTAAAAAAAAAAAAAGAAGAATCAGGATTTCTCCTGATAACTGTTTGTTCAAGCAATTTTTGCTTTGTTAAAAGATGAAATGTTGGGGCCTGATCTTTTCATGTTTTCCTGATCTGCACCCCTGTCCCCAACATGTTTGTCCCTGAAACTTTCTTGTTAACGAGTCATGGACTTGTAATTCATTGAGTGACAGAGTGTTGCTTTTAGGGTGCTATGGTGACCCTTCATGTGCGCTAAGTATTATAAAGCATTCGATAGCCTGTGGGGTTTCTCAGCCGTCAACCAAGAAATGCAGCTTCATTTCCAAGTCCTGTTGGTTGAGGTTATTGCCGCTCTCCGCTCTGCACCAAGTCCAGTTTTCCTTTGCACCCTTGAGACAGTGAAGTGAGAAAGCATTGCTGATAATTTCAGTGCATATTACATCAGAAATAACTTTCTTGCATGTAGAGACCGTTCTGGATTATGCTCCCTTCACCTAACTAAAAAAATGAACTATGTGGATTGTTATTTTTAAAAGAGACGTTAAAACTCAAAAATTTATGGAAAACGGATCATAGCAAATTAAGGAGGAATACTTGAAGAAGACAGACCACTTTGAAATTACTGTGGTACTGAATAATTCAAATTCCTTGTTTGAAAGAGCTTGGAGGCACGGGTATTATTCTTCATAATAAATCTATGTATTATGCAGTGTTGTTGCATATGGAACTGCAATTCTCCTCAGAATCAAGGCTTCCTTTTCAATCCCGAATTTCCACCTGCAAATCTTGTTAAATTTATGTCAGTGTAAAATTTATAGGCCTGATCTTTAATTACCCCTTATCTGTTGGCGGTTCGCATTCTTTTGTCTACTGATAAATCTCCTGCCCCTGCAGGGAGAATGGCCAAATTTGTTTTGTTTGGCTGCTCCTAGACAGTGATGGTGAAGTCTTCCATCACACCTCCTTCTTTGTGATTAGAATTATCTAATTAGAGCCTTTTGTCACCATTTTCTGATAAATGAAGGAAATTGGGAGATGGAGGCCAAAGTTACATACATACAGCTTCTTGCCAAGACATGCAAAGAAAATTTATCATTGTGTACTGTGTGGCTGTGGTATCAGTCATGAAGAGGCGTAAAGTGGGCCTGTTATTTACAGTTCATCAATTTAGAATAATAATGCACTTAGGCAGGAAATTGGAAGTTACAGGGCATCCTTGCAAATGGCATCGAGGAAGCAAAAGTTCTCCCATTACTCAGGAGAGGGGCCGTTATTGATGGCCTTGCTCTCGTGGGCCCTGTCGTCTCCTAGGTGTTAGAGTGTATGTGTCTGGGTTTGGGTTCTGCCACCAGCTGAAGGCTGATAGTTGAGGTTTAGGGCTTGCTATACTTCCACTTATCTGGAAAGATCTAGATCATAAACATTCTAGACTTTTCAGGACGCAGTCTTTGCTACAGCCCCCATCCCTGCCAACATAGCATCAGAGCAGCCCTAGGTGGCCGGGCAAAGCCTGCATATGCTGTGAGGAAATCGTTGAGTGCTGGGACTTGAGTCTTCATCATTTTCATGTCACAAGGAAATACTCTCCGTTGAATTTGTTTGTTTTTAAACTGAGCGTTTTCAAGTCTTCAGAAGCATTCGTCCTTACACGCTGTGCAAGAACAGAAAGACAGCTGGATAATGTTCATAGGCTGTAGTGTGTCAATTCTTATTTTAGTAAATCCCCCCCCCCCCCCAACTCCACCCCCTGAGTTCATATAGGGCAGTCCCAAGAACCTTGGGACAGATATGGCCAGTTTGGAAGAGTTTCTCAAGCCGCTTGCTAGGGGTAATGAAAATAAGGGGAGAAGGGGAGTAGGAGGAAGGAAACAGGGCTCCTGGACAGCCTGAGCAACTCACCTGGCCTTCTTGAGGCCAGCAGACTTTCAAATGTTAGATGTTTGCACATTAAAATGTCTCAGGGATGGAGCCCAAGGCTGAACAGGGTATTGTGTATCACATAGACATCCAAAGGTGATTTTATACGATTACATTTAGAGTTTTGACTGTCACCCACCTCCTAAGATTGGATGTGGAATCTTCCACTTGTATACCATGTCAGTATTCTAAAAGTTTGGAACTTTTGAGTTGGGATGCTCATCCTATATACAGTCCTCATACGTTGAAACCACTTCCCCAAGGATATTAGAGTGGTTCTTTCGTGTGTGTGTGTGTGTGTGTGTGTGTGTGTGTGTGTGTGTGTGTGTGTGTGTGTGTGTGTGTGGGTGTGGGGGCTCTCATGGTTCTCTTGTAAAGAAGATTTGGGGTTCATTAGAGATGCTGTTCAGTATTTGCTGATAGATACAGGAAGGGCAGGAAACGGTGAGACTTGGTGTCTGTTGACTTTCCACTGTTTAGGCTGGTATGGACTGTGGTAGTCTCACTCCTGGTTTATACTTTGAGGTATAAATGAAGTTTAAAATGTGGGCTTGAGAAAATGTGGGTCTTTGTTGTGAGGCATTTTGAAATTTAGCAAAGGTAAACTAGGCCACATCTGAAAGATCAGTCTAATGGACCGGATCGTAACATCATGCCTCTAATTCTGCAGTCCATTTAGTTTCTCTTAGGACATTGCCAATTGTCCTTTGCGGAGGGGCGGTGGAGGGGGAGTAGGACATAGAGTATGAATTTTGTAGCTGCTGTATAGACCTGTGTCAGATACTGGTAATGTTGAGTCTGATTTTGGAGAGACTTTTAGTTGCTCAGAACCTTGGTTTCCCTTCTGGGAAATTGGAGTAACTAAGAGCATTTCCCCTAGGGTGTTATCACGTGACGGGAGATGATGGGTGTCAGCTGCTTAGCACAGTCTGTGTCATCAGGTACCCAACTCTACTTCCTGCTCTTGACTGTTTCTCCTTCACTTGCTGGTGTTTCTGAAATTCTCCTTGAGCCAGCCATGCTTCCCAGCAGACAGAACTGGGGGCGCAGGAGGTGAGATGGGCACGGGCAGATGTATATGCTTTGCCTTTGTGTCTTTCAAATGAGGCTTATGGAAAGGATCATTGAGTTCAGAGGTGGGCAAGTTGCAGGCTTCAGCCTAAGCTTGAACTTGAGGGTTAATTGTAACACAGCCACACTCATTACTTTGTGGTGCTTCATACATGTGGTGCTTCACTACAGCCTCTCAGCTCAGAAATATATAGAGAGAGTTACTGTGTGTTTGACATGCGTGTGTGCACACGCTCACATGTATGTGTAGTGGTCAGAGGACAACCTTGGGAAGTCAGTTCTCTTCTTCCACCTTCCCATTGAATCCAAGGTTGTCAGGTTTGTACAACATGTGCTAGACCAACCCCCAAAGCTAAGGATTTGTGATGGACCCTGTGATGGAAAATGGAGGATCGAGTTCTCCAGCCCTTCACAGAAAACATTCTTTAGGACCTGCTCATATTCACATAGCTTGGATTCTGAGCAGAGCCTGCTCGCTCTGAGACTAATTTGGAGCTACCCAGGGGTGAAGAAGCTGACTTTGGTTTCCTTGTGATCCTCTTTGTCTGCAAAGACTTCAGTAAGTCTTTAGGGTGGTGTTTGCATTTTCCTTTTTAAGAAAAGGGTGTGGAAGAGACAAGATGAGTGAGGTGGGTTGTGTTTCAGGATGGGTCAAGGCAACACTCTTTGGGTTCCATCACTCGCTGTTTGGTGGGGTGTAGTCTGCAAACAGCACTGACATCATCATTCCCATGCTACCCTACACAGCAACTTCACAGTCACTACAGAGACTTTGAGTTTTGAGCTGAGACTAGCTTGTTCTTAGGACAGGCTCTGCTGTACTTCATTTGTAGACTGGTGACATTTCAGTTTTCACTCTAGAGTGAACATAGTTGTTTGATCTCTACTGATTCATTTGACATACTACAGACTCCTATTTATACTTGCTATGTAAGTTGTCCTTTGACAGACTTACCAAACATCTAGAACGTCAACATACAGGACTGTTGGTGGAGGAGCCTGCCTGTTGTTCTCTGATCGCAGTCATCCAGAGATGCGATTCTCCTCTAGTTATTATTTGAGTTACTATAGCAAAGGGTCACAATATCTGTATCCAAGTGGAGGCTTCATCCATCAAAAGTGAGAAGTGGAGGTTGATGCTAGGGTTATCTGAGGAGGGACAGTATCATTGCAAGATGCTTTTTGTCTTTGGATTTCTTTTTCCTTACAGGGAATTTCATGAAGAATTTACCAGAAGAAAAAAAATGCAGTCCTCTCAAGTATATCATTAGGAATATTAAAACAATTTGTCTTCTGTAGTTTTAACCTGACTAAGAAATAGAATTTTTCCTGTAACTTCAGGTGATGATAGTTCATGAATTTTGGAGTTTGCCCAGAACTTCTGTAATTTTACATGAAAAATACCATATGTTGGCTAGGTCACAGCTGCTGGAAAGAGAAATCAGAGACAAACCTGAATGGAGTCCAAGTGGAACTAAGAAGTGTCTTTATAAGCTTGTATATTCATTCCCCCTTTCAAACCCTGGAAGGAAAGCAGACTGTGTGGTCCTGACCCTGGACTCTCTGCATCTCTAATCATTTCCTTTGTGTATACAGTAGTTGTATGAATCAGTGTGGGATGGGAGTGGTGCCCATCTTCTGAGGAATCCAAAATCAAAACACGAAATTGCCAAAATTCCCTGTGGGAAGTAGTGTCCTTGGGCAGGTTGAAGGTCAGACAGGGTTATTTTAATGGGCATTGCTTCTGCCTTTTTGGCCAGAGGATAGCTAAGACTGTTCTTAACTACCTGTAAAATGGAGATGAAGGACTGACCTTACAAATGGTTCAGGTGTTAGACATCTTAGCATTCACATGAATTTGGGGTTTTTACATTAGACCGGAAGACCTGTTGTTCACATGGCTCTTCAGTACACCCTTCTCCGTGAACACGTGTCTCTGTGTGTAGCTATGTGGCTCATTTCAAGTATACAGCTTGGAGGACAAGGATTATTGCT